GTAGGCATAGAGAGTACATACCTCAATATCATAAAAGCCATCTATGAAAAGCCCGCAGCAAGTATCATTCTCAATGGGAAAAACTGAGAGCTTTCCCCCTAAGTCAGGAACATGGCAGGGATGTCCGTTATCACCACTGCTATTCAACATAGTACTTGAAGTCCCCGCCTCAGCAATCAGACAACAAAAAGAAATAGAAGGCATCCAAATTGGCAAAGAAGAAGTCAAACTCTCAGTCTGCAGATGATATGATACTTTATGTGGAAAACCCAAAAGACTCTACTCCAAAACTGCTTGAACTCGAACAGGAATTCAGAAAAATGTCAGGATATAAAATCAATGCACAGAAATCAGTTGCATTTCTATACATCAGCAACAAGACAGAAGAAAGAGAAATTAAGGAGTCGATCCCATTTACAATTGCACCCAAAACCATTAGATACCTAGAAATAAATCTAACCAAAGAGGCAAGAAATCTATACTCAGAAAACTATAGAACACTCATGAAAGAAATTGAGGAAGCCACAAAGAAATGGAAAAACGATCCATGCTCATGGATTGGAAGAACAAATATGAAAATGTCTATGCTACCTAGAGCAATCTACACATTTAATGCAACCCTCACCTTTTTCCAAAGAAATGGAATAAATAATCCTAAAATTTGTATGGAACTAGAAAAGACCCTGAATTGCCAGAGGAATGTTGAAAAAGATAACCAAAGCTGGTGGCATCACAATTCCAGACATTAAGTTCTTACATATTAGGTAAAGGGCTCGTATTCAAAATCTATAAAGATCTTATCAAACTCAACACCCAAAGCTGTACTCATCAAGATAGTATGGTAGTGGCACAAAAACAGACACATAGATCAATGGGAAAGAATAGAAAGCCAAGAAATGGATCTTCAAGTACGGTCAACTCATCTTTGACAAAGCAGGAAAGCATGTCCAATGGAGAAAAGACAGTCTCTCCAACAAATGGTGTGGGGAAAATTGAATAGCTATATGCAGAAAAATGAAATTGGACCATTTCCTTACACCATACACAAAAATAGACTCAAAACGGATCAAAGACCTCAGTGTGAGACAGGAATCCATCCAAATCCTCAAGCAGAACACAGGCCCCAAGCTCTGTGACCTCACCTACAGCAACTTCTTCCTAGATACATCACTAAAGGCAAGGGAAGCAAGGGCAAAAATGAACTATTGGGACTTCATCAAGATAAAAAGCTTCTGCACAGCAAAGGAAACAGTCAACAAAACCAAAAGACAACTGACAGAATGGGAGAAAATATTTGCAAATGAAATATTAGGTAAAGGGTCAGTATCCAAAATCTATAAAGAACTTATCAAACTCAAACCCAAAGAACAAATAATCCAGTCAAGAAATGGGCAGAAGACATGAACAGACATTTCTGCAAAGAAGACATCCAAATGGCCAACAGACACATGAAAAAGTGCTCAACATCACTTGGCATCAGGGAAATACAAATCAAAACCTCACTGAGACACTACCTCACACTAGTCTGAATCGCTAAAATTAACCAGTCAGGAAATGACAGGTGTTGGCAAGGATGTAGAGAAAGCAGACCCTCCTACACTGTTGGTGGGAATGCAAGCTGGTACAGCCACTCTGGAAAACAGTATTGAAGTTCCTCAAGAAGTTGAAAATAGAGCTACCTTATGACCCAGCAATTGCACTACTGTGTCTTTACCCCAAAGATACAAATATACAAATGTAGTGATCCGAAGGAGCATGTGCACCCGAATGTCCACAGCAATGTCCACAATAGCCAAACTATGGAAAGAGCCTAGATGTCCACCAGCAGAGGAATGGACGAAGAAGACGTGTGATACGCACACACGCGTGCGCACACACACACACGTATGTACATGTATCTATGTATATATACATATATGTATACACACATATACATGAATATTATGCAGCCATCAAAAAAGCCTCCAAATATATATTATGCAGCCATCAAAAGGCCCCAAAATCTTGCCATTTGCAATGACATGGATGGAACTAGAGGGTATTAAGCTAAGTGAAATAAGTCAGAGAAAGACAATTATCATATGACCTCACTGATATGAGGAATTTGAGAAACAAGACAGAGGATCATGGGGGAAGTGAGGGAAAAATGTAACAAGATGAAACCAGACAGGGAGACAAACCATAAGAGACTCTTCATATGAGGAAACAAATTGAGGGTTGTTGGAGCGGAGAGGGGTGGGAAGGATGGGGTTGTTGGGTGCTGGACATTGATGTACTAAGGTGAGTGCTGTGAATAGTGTAAGACTGATGAATCACAGACCTGTACCCCTGAAACAAATAATACATTATATGTTAATAAAAAAATGAAAATGGGGTGCCTGGGTGGCTCAGTGGGTTGAGCCTCTGCCTTTGGCTGAGGTCGTGATTTCAGGGTCCTGGGATCGAGCCCCACAATGGGCTCTCTGCTCAGTGGGGAGCCTGCTTCCTCCTCTCTCTCTGCCTGCCTCTCTGCCTACTTGTGATCTCTCTCTCTGTCAAATAAATAAATAAAATCTTTAAAACAAAATGAAAACATATAAGCAGTAAGAGAAAACAGTTACATACGAGGGAACCCCCATAAGGCTAACATCTGATATTTTAGCAGAAACTGTTCAAGCCAGAGGAAAATGGCATGATATATTTAAAGTGCTGAAGGAAAAAAATTCTACAACCAAAATACTCTGTTAGAGCAAAACTGTCAAATCAATATGTTGTACACCTTCAACTAATATAACACTGTATTTCACTTAAAATATTTTTAATTTTTGAAATTATTTTAAATATTTAATTAAAAACTTAATTAAAAAATTATGGTTTGGGAAAATAATTAGACAAACAGATGAAAGGAACCCAATAAAGACCTCAGAAATAGGCCCACATACATTGGAATATAAAATATGACAGACTAGTATGCATCAGTGGAGAAATGATGAATTATTTTCAATAAATGGTAACTGAAAAAAACGAAATAGGAAGAAAGCCCAAATTAATTGGATCCCTACCTACAATATAGCAAAATAAACAACCCTCACAAAACTCAGGAAACAACAACACAATCAATTCCAAGTACCTTTAGACTATTTGAAAAAGACACAGGAAGATATCTTAATGACACTGGGGATAGAGAAGAATTTCATGAGGCAGATAATACAGACCAGAAAGATGGTGAAACAAATGCAAAACCACAATTTATCAGAAGATTCCAGAAAGACAACAAACAAACCACAACTGGGAGATGGTAGTGGCTATTCATTCATACAATTAAGAGAAAAAGAAGTCACCTGGAAATATTTTAAAACTCTCAAACATCAGTAAGAAAAATGCAACCAATAAGAAAATGGACAAAATTTATATAGGGATTTCACAGATGAAAAAATGCAATAGTCAATATTCATATAAAGCTACGATTATTCCCCATTAGTTATTAGGAAACTGAAATTAAAAACCCAATGAGATACCACTTTTATACCTATCAGACTGGAAAATCTAAAGGACTGAAAATACCAAATGTGATAGACAAAGGTGATGATAAATCAGTACATTTAGGAAAAGCTTGTAACAAGTTCTGTGGAATCATATGGGGAAGACAAATATGAAATCACAAAGAACCAAGTATTTAAATGATAGTTTCAGTATCTTGGGATACAAAAAGGTGAAGGAAATTGTTTGGTTATCCGAAAGGTGCACCATTCTTTTTTAAAATTTGGGTGTACAGTAGATGATAGGATACAAAGGAATCCTTTAAAGTATCTAATTCATATTTTAAGTTTTCTTTGGTACAGAATCTTTCAAATAAGACTGATTTTCTTACATTTGCTTTCATATTATGCTTAAGTGTATCTATACCAAATCTGGGGATGAGTCTCTACAGTTAGAGATATAAAATAGTACATGTTTATAAATGTCTTTAAACTATTTTCTTGGTTCAAACCACTGTATAAAGTTATATCTGTCCTTAAACTACTTTCTTCATGCCTCAGGGATTTCATAAATCAATTTATTTTTTGCCTCAACCATACAGGCCCCATTTCTATCTCCTTTCAGTTTCATGCCATCGTGGTACTGATTTTTTAGGTCTTCTGTAGAAGCTCCCCCGCATCCTGGCTCCTTGAAGATCAGAGTTCTCCATACCTGCAGCTTTCTAGACTCCATAATATCACAAGCTGTAAATGCTAAAACTGCACAGTAGTTCATGCACTGACCATGGTTTTATAAAAGGAGAAATTACATATTATGTCCATATTGTATGATTATCATTCTACAGAAAGAAATTCTCAAAGGTCAAAAAGGTATTAGAGATTGCTTTGACCTTATTTTGATAATTTAGGATGTGATTGCACATTAGCTCATTTGATCCTTACAACTATATTAATTAGATTGCACATATATACATGCTCCCATTTTACATATGGGAAAACAGAAACAGAAGAATGGGTTCCTATGACACCTCTGAAGTCATTCCACTAGTCAGACCTGAACCCAGAAACTGGTATTCCTATTTCACTGTAATATCTCTGCAACACTCAATACACTAAGACACTGCTATTTTCTACTCGTTTTAAATTTGTGAGACAATTATAAAATATAAAATTAAATAAACTTACCTATGATAATGAATTATTCAGGATCCTTATAAGGAACACTAGTGCTTTGGTCAAATACAACTTTTGTCAAATCTGATACTTTTGCAATGAATTCATTATCCACATATTAAACACTATTGACAGAAAGGCAAAGTAAATTTAATCCTTTAAATTTTCTCAAATTTTGCTCTTAATATATAGTTTCTATTTTCTTCATATACATATTGAAGCTTTCACCCAGAAGATACTTAGCAAAATTCTTCCTTAAAACTGATCAATGCAGAAACACGTTTCCACTAGCATTTTAGTTAGTAAAAAATGGCTTCAAAAAGAGACCTTGGACAAAGTTACCGAACTTTTTTGCATTAGTTTCCTTACCTCCAAAAAGATGGAATGCTTTTCTACAGCTTGGTAGTGGCCATTTTGCAGAGCTGGATTTCTGAAAGCTTTGTTTTATTTTCAAATATTCTTTAGGAAAGAATCTTTTTGTGGCATTGTTCAGTTCTAGAGTAAAGCAAAAGAAAACAGTAGTTAAACATTAATTTGAGTACAATGGCAAGAATATGAAAAATTATTGTTGTAGTATTTTGATAATCAATTCAGATCGCTTTAGGAGAGAAGGAAAAGTGGAGTCAACACTGTAATTTTAACTCAAGCAAACCTAATTCCCCCAAATTCCCATTTGATACAACTTCGATGTGTCTACACATAGAAAACAGACCTACTGGGTATCTCCTATGTCCTCTGCTATGCCAGATACAGCCAAGAGTGAGACAGTCCCTGTCCTCAAGAAGACTGAAGAGTAAAAGACGGAAATAAACAGACAGAAAAGGAGAAAAATGTATTCTAGATGTGTGAAAGAGCAACCTGAGTGCAATAATGGCCTGGGATGAATGACGAAAAGGAAAAACTTCTTGAGTACTTTTTCCTACTTCATAATCTCTATTTCATTCTATATGTGGTGGTCGAGCACTTACTGAATCTAATGCTACTGATTTTGAGGGAGTTTAAAAAATATGAATAAAATTCTCAACTTTTCAGAGATTTGCTTATGAGCCAAAAAGAAAATATTCAGTTGAAGTAAATACAGAGCAATCTGTGAAAAGGCAGGAGGATACTTATTTTAAATTCTAGAAAATATCTGAACTCTATATGAGCCACAGAAAGCACGAGGACATAGAGAAGAAATGCTCACATTTAAGGAGAACAACACAAGTCAGGGAAAGAGTTAAATCTGCTATTACAGCCTGCATTCAATAGAATATGGCTAGTTTGAATCACAGAAATACCAGTCATATAAATTTTTTTAAGAAAATTCTTTATTTAAATTCAATTTAGTTAACATATACTATATTATTAATTTCAGGGGTAGGATTTAGTGATTCTTCAGTTGCATAGAATACTCGGTGTTCATTACACCAAATACCCTCCTTAATGCAGTAATGTAGGTCTTAAAACCAACTCTTTCGACCTAGCAGTTTCTCACCCTCAGGTCTACTGGTAAGTACATACCCTATAGAATATGGGGTTCAGAAGAGTTCTGCATGCTGGGAAAAGAGAGGCCAGTCAGGAATATCCCACTCAGTATTGATGACTATCTGTACATCCTATGAAAATAAATAAACCTTATTTTCACATTCTTTACTAGTAAATCATTCAAAGCTAAAATCTGGCTTAGGAAGTCCCATTATTCAGCTAAATATGCATCCTAATGACAAAGGCAGATATAACAGAGACCAAAACAAACCAAGAAGTGTGTATTTGACAGTGTCAAAATTGAGTTATGGGTGTTACAGCCTGTGAATCATGATAATTACATAATTTATGCTGAACTCATGTTTGTATTTAGGATTTCCTATTTTATTAGCTAGGCAAGCCATAGTTAAAGATTTATCCACTTTTTTTTTAAGATTTTATCTATTTTAAAGATTTTATCTATTTATTTGACAGACAGAGATTACAAGTAGGCAGAGAGGCAAGCAGAGAGAGAGAGAGGAGGAAGCAGGCTCCCCGCTGAGCAGAGAGCCCAAGGCGGGGCTCGATCCCAGGACCCTGAGATCATGACCCAAGCCGAAGGCAGAGGCTTTAACCCACTGAGCCACCCAGGCGCCCCAAGATTTATCCACTTTAATCTGATAATTCCATTTATTATTTCTATTACAATACTTTATACTCATAATTTAATTTATGTTCCAGAATAGTAAATGAACTGTTATCATTTTTAACCCTTCAGTCCCAGGAGAACTCTGTTAATATTGTAAGACTTTTTCAAGTTAGAGCATTTATCCAAGCTTTCACCTCAAGCAGTGTGTTCACTTTGTACTTACTGAGGTTCTTTAATGACTTTGGACCACTCAAGAATCATTTTAGTCAATGTTTCATCACCCAAGAATAAGTAGTTTACTCTCTGCTAGAGGAATAATAAGGGGAGGAGGAGATCTAGTAAATTAAGCCCAGTTTAACCATCACATTTACTGAGCTCTTACTATGATTAAGATGAAATGTTAAGTACTTTATACTGTGATGATGCATACTTTTATTCTTTTGTATGTAAAGTTATATTTCAAGATTCAGAAAATGGCTTTTGAAGTCCTATGGATACAGATATAATACTGGATCCTCAAAAGACTATCACAGCATCCATTCCTGGCTTCTAAGAATCCATAATTCTGTCTTCTGTGTGTAAAGAAATTGGGTTCTTTCTTCCCTGTCCATTGTATCACATTCAATGCTACAGTCTGGTTTATCACTTTTAAAAACTGTCAAGAGTCACACATGTCTATGATTTTAAAAATCCAATGGTATAGAAGGGCAAAAACAAAACAAACCAAAAAACAAAACAATCATGTGTTCCACTCCTTATTTCTACCCTCACTTCCAATCCTCAAGGACTCTTTAAGTACTCCTATTGTTAGTTTTTTTCCTGGAGATTAACCTCCTCAAGTAAAAGTCAGTAATTTTTAAGACTTGGTTTGCAAAGCACTAGCAATATGTGAAATGATCAGGGTAATAATGAATGAAAATGTTTAAAAATGTCAAAGTTACCTATTTAATATGTAGAAGAAATGTATAAACTAGATCAAATAAATTCTCAAATATATTGCTAAGAATGAGGCTAATGTCAGTATTTAAGAAAAAAATGGTGATATGAAGAAAATTCTTAAGAAAAAAGTAATTCAGGTGGCACATGGATACAGTAAAAATTGTAAAGGTGGTACCGGATGGGTGCTTCACATGGGTACAAAATGAGTTTCACCAGAGAGTTAAGATCCTTTGCAAATGGCACTTTCTTGCCCCTCTTACACAGGTGCAAAGTAAGCATTGCCTTTGAGGCCCTGAAGATTTTAAGATACTTTGTGCACTTTGATTGTTTGAAAAGCACTGCTCTAAATATGCTTACTTTGATATTTCTTTATAATAAAAATACTTATTTCCACATATTAAAGCTTGAGAATGACTGCACTAGAAAATATCATGACACAGTCAGATATTCTTACTGATAAAAAGAATGAGTCTGGATTTCAGGCTCAGTGACTATTCTGTACAAGACAAACATTAAAATAAAAGAGTGCAGGCATGGATGGACACAAGAACAAAATCACTATTAGCATAAGAATTAACAGACTGGACTTACTGGTAGAGAATAAGAGGAAGTGTGAAATGCTCTTAATGGGAATAGGGATAATAGACGAAGACCAGTTATAGAGTTGATAAAAAGAGAAGTGTGATATTCTTTCGGATGAGCTGCATGTCCTGGATAAAGCCCAGCAGGACACGAGAATGTCAGACGGAACACAGAAAAATTCTCAAGTGTGTAGGACTGGCCCCAAAACACTAGGATAACTGTCATCACTGCTCCCACTGACTAGATGCCAGTATTATCCTCCAATTATTGAGACAGCCAAAATATCCCCGGTGAAAAATCATAGGCCTCCTCCATGCTTTAAGTCCTGGATTAGCTTAAATGTCATTTCCTTATTTAGTTAAGGACTTCTATGCACAAGGTAAAATTTTCTTTTCTTTTTTCCAATACAGTTTACCAGTATATCTGCTCATCAGCATATTCTGCTAGGTAAAGGTCTGAAAGTAGGGGGTGTAGGGGTAGGGGCATCAAAAGGGAGATGGAGCTTGAATGGAAGCAAACAGTAGAACAAGGGAGTCACTCTTGCTGAGGTTTGGTGCATCTGAATGGGAGGAGCGATGGCACTGAGTGATTTCGCAGTTGGGGAGGAGGTCATGCTGACCCTGGCTCCCTTAGCAATCAATACCCGAGACACTCACATTTACTATATAACCATGGGTTAGGATCTCCAAACATGGATACTGGGTCCGTAGTAGGACTGCCTATAGTAGGATCCTTCAGTGTCAGTCCACAATAGGGAAGTGACATGCTTGGTTTGAAGGCTTCGGTCAGAAAGTCAATTCAAGAAAATACGACACGTTCCCTCAAAAAAAAGCATGATATTCCTGTCTGAGGTATTCCTCTTCTGTCACCTTGACAACCTCCACTCCACATAATGCTTATAAACCATGGCCTTTTCCTTTCCTTGACGTGCTGATTTTAGATGGCCTGCAGATCCTGTTATGAAACATATAGCCCCTCCCTGAATAGACTAAGTGTTGGGATACTGATGTGGGGACCCTGCATCAGAAATGATGTGAGGTTGCCAGTCAACGAATGGGAAGGGTTTCACCTATCCAGTCTTCCTCCTCAGACCTGCCTACACTGGTGTCCTTCTCATCTTCAAAGAAAAGAAGTACTCTAATTAATTTGGGACACGCCAGAATTTCCCCAATCTCACAAGCAAGCTTAGAATCTGCCTTGTCCAAACTTGAGGACCCTCCTTTTTTCCAAAGTGACTTCACCATTTTATGTTTTATTTATTTATTTTTAATGTTTTAAATTTATTTTTTATTAACATGTCATGTATTATTTGTTTCAGGGGTACAGGTCTGTGATTCATCAGTCTCTAAGTACTCTAAGACAATAAACTAACTTCTCCAAAGTATCACCAAAAGCACTTGAAACCAGAAAAGGAAAAAAGTCTCTTTTACAATAGCAACAACAAAAATATACAGGCAGAAAGCTAGTAAGAATTGTGCAGAGGGGCGCCTGGGTGGCTCAGTGGGTTAAAGCCTCTGCCTTCAGCTTAGGTCATGGTCTCAGGGTCCTGGGATCGAGCCCTGCATCGGGCTCTCTGCTCAGCAGGGAGCCTGCTTCCACCCGACCCCTGCCTGCCTCTCTGCTTGTGATCTCTGTCTGTCAAATAAATAAATAAATAAAAATCTTTAAAAAAAAAAAAAAAGAATTGTGCAGAGACTTTAGGAAGGAGATTGCAGAAATGTATTGAGAGGTGATATACCATAATAACAATTACTCAATGTTATATCAATGTAAATTAAAAATATGAATTATTCCCATATAACTTATAATTTTAATGTACTTTTGAGTTATTAAAACATTCAAGATATAGTAGCTTTATGAGTAAAGTAGGGGCGCCTGGGTGGCTCAGTGGGTTAAGCCTCTGCCTTCGGCTCAGGTCATGATCTCATGGTCTTGGGATTGAGCCCCACGTCAGCCTCTCTGTTCAGCAGGGAGCCTGCTTCCCCCTCTCTGCATACTTATGATCTCTGTCTCTCTGTCAAATAAATAAAATTTAAAAAAAAAAAGAGTAAAGTAATGGGGTGGTGCCTGGGTGGCTCAGTCAGCTAAGTGTCCAGCTCTTGATTTCAGCTCAAGTCATGATCTCTGAGTCCTTAGTTGGAGCCTCCCCTGCTAAGGGCTCCGTACTCAGTGTGAAATCTGCTTGAGATTCTCCCTCTGCCCTTTCCCCTGCTCACAGATGCACTTTCTCTCTCTCAAATAAATAAAAATCTTAAAAAAGCATAAAGTAACAGTATATGATAAGGTGGAAATATGAATGGAAAAGAACAGCTGCAAAGAAATACATTTATATTTTAGTAATTGTTATTATTACTTTTTAAAGAATGGAAATTCAATTAGAATAGGAAAAATGGACTGTTCAACAATGTTACCAGGATAAATGTCTAAGGACATGGGAAAAAAGCACTCCATTCTTAAACCAGGCATCATAAAGATGTTAAATGGAGTTAAATTTGGGGATAGAAGGACAAAATGGAAACCTAAAATAAATGTAATAAAAAGAATGTTTATATTATTCTTTAGTGGATAAGGCCTTTTAATACCTAACTTTGAAATTAGAAATAATAAACACCAAGGTTGCTACATGAGACCTCATAAAAATATAAAAGTTCTGCACAGTCACAAAACATAATAAACATAACTAAAGTACAAAGGACAAACAGGAAAATGATTTACTGCCTATGACAAAAGTTGACACTAATTAAAACAATATTTTTTAAAGATTTTTATTTATTTATTTGAGAGATAGATAGCAAGAGAGAGAGAGAGAGAGCACAGAGAGAGAGTGAGAGGGAGAAGCACACTCCCTGCTGAGCTAAGAGCCTGATGCGGGGCTTGATCCCAGGACCCTGAGATTGTGACCTGAGCTGAAGGCAGACGCTTAACCCACTGACCCACCCAGGTGCCCCTAAAAAGTCTTCTTGTTAATAAGCAAGAAAAACCATAAGAAAAATCAGCAAAGGTCAGGGTCAGAGATTTAAAAAGAAACAGAACAAAACAAACAAAAAATGCCCAGAGTGTAGAGAAAATAAACCCTTGGATAATGCTGCTTACAATAATTTTGGAACATAATTTTGCAACATATACATAGCTTTAAAACACAGAGGGCTTTAACTACCAGTTCTACTTCTGGAAATCCCTTGCAAAAAAATACTCAGTGATGTGTGCAAAATATTTATCCCTATATACCAGCAAATAATAACAAATAAATAACTAAACTAAATGTCCCATATAGTAGACAACTTAAGTAGTTCATGACATAACGACAAGCATTTTTTAGTGAAGCCAAGCAGGTTAAAAAAAAGCCCTATGTACAATATGATCACATTTTTTTCTGTAAGAAAAATAATTAAGTTCACATATGTAAAATATTCTAGAAAGATACACAGTCAAGGTGGTCTCTAAATGTTAGGACTATGGAGGATTTTGAGTTTATAATTTTATCTGGATGTTCTGATTCTTCTCTAATGAAATTGTATTACTTACATAATTTAAAAACTTATTTCTATAAGAAAACTAGATGATAATGTTTTGGCTACTAGCAATGTCACTTGCCCTAAATTACACTTTGGTATTTCCTCAGCATTTATCAGAGTATACCGAAAGACACAGTGTCAGGAAACCTGATACTGCATTTGCTCTGAGGATGTTTTTGAGGACACTGCCTACTCTGTTTCTCAATATGCCCTAGAAGAGAAATCACATAAGAATTCCTTTTCAAGTGCCAGAAAAATGTTCGCTTTTTCTTAGGAAGTGGGATGTTTCTTTTAACGAACCATGAGAATCACTTAATTGTACACTTACTTTTATTTTTCCTTAGAAGGGAGACTATTTAAAACTAAACACTTCCTCTAATTATAGTTACTATATACAGTCATATGGTTTATGTATCTGCCCATCCACACTCACCTGCAGAATGTGGAGATAGCATTTTCCTCCCTAACATTTGGTCCACAGTAGTGCACTCAGTAAATATTAGCTCTGCTTACTTCTATCATTCTTCCCTTTTTCTTCAGCAATTCTCTATGTTCCACATTCATTTGTTTTTCCTCTCTCCATTAGTGTGTTTTAAATACTATGTTAATTGGGTGATGGGCATTAAGGAGGGCACAAGATGTGATGAGCTCTGGGTATTATACAAAACTGATAAATTACTGAACACTACACCTGAAACTAATGATATACTACTATAATTTGGCTAGTTGAATTTAAATAAAAAAAAGAAAAGAATAAATAGTATGTCATATTCCATCTTTACTGATACTTAGGTAATTATGTTAACAAAACAGAAGAGTTACCTGTCTGGAAAAAGACTCTGGAAATAATTGTCCGACACAATGGGCAGGGAGTGCTTGCAGGATTGTCTTTGGCAAGAGTCCGTAAGCAGGGCTCACAGAAGATGTGGTGGCACGGGTAACACATGTATGGGTTGAAATAAACATCCAGGCACACTGCACAGATGTAACTTTCCTTTTCTTCTGCATATTCATTGTCATCATCTGTACTCATTTCATTATTCAAAGTCTGCAAAACATAAGCAAAAATAATTTTCCTGGTTCAGTATGAGATTTTGTTAAAATGAATAAAAATATTTATGAGAAGCACGTAATATCTGTTTTTGTGACATATTCAAAGTTACAGAAAGATTACCTTGCAACATAAGAAGAAACTCAAAACATACACGAAAAACCCAGAAGTCTTAATTTTTCTTTTTAGTTTTTTATATAATGCTGAATGCTAAAACATACCCAAAATACTGAAGCATACCCGTATCTCTATTTAACCAGTACTAGTTAAATAAGTATCAGGTATGGCCGTCCCAGGATTATAGACAGATTCCCCATCTATCCTATTCCCACTATGGCAAATAAAGTGCTTGTCACAAGGTTATGGAGCCTTGTATTGGCACGTGCAGATGATGAAAAGTGAGGGCAAGAGGATATCATATTTATCCTCATACCATGCATGCATTCTCTATATTTTGTCCCTTTGTGGACCTCAAGGCCCCAAGAAATGGCCAAAGCCTAATGTACATCAGGCAGCAGACAAGGCAAAAAGACTTGTAGTAATTCCGGGATGAGCCTTGTACTGGGAAATAGGATGAGTCCCTTCCTGCCTCCCAAAGAAAATAGGTAAGAAAGAGGTACTTAGGAAAGAGGCAGCTTAGATATTAGCAGCATGAGATCTGGTAAAAGAATTCCTGTGACTTAGCTTCACAATTTCCCCATCTGTGAAGATGATGTGAGGATGACACAGGGTAATCCACTAGATAACAGGCACTCTGTGAAATCCCATATAAAAAACAAAGTTTAATACAGAGAGGATATGAAGTAAATGTTTCTCGCCAACAGAAAGCTTGTGGCTATGATCTGAACGATAATAAAGAAAAATCTGCAGGAAAGGCAACAAAATCCATAATTTTCACTCATTATTGATGTATGTATATTTCTTCCTAAACTTCTAAGATATTTGCAAAGCGAAAGGCATAAGTAAATAATTAGTACTGAACTGGGCATCCCAAATAAAAACATCTACGGACCTAGATGCTGATTTACCTAAATTTTATTTCATAATGCCAGCTTATTCTGCTTGCATTAGATGCTCAGGACTGTGCCTTGAGATTTGAACTAATTAACCTTGAAGAAAGCCAGGGCATTAAAAAAAAACCGTAATTTGTAGAACCTCTTAAAGCATTTCAAATTATGACCCAAATATTTGCACAGAATTTTATTTCTATGAAATACTTTGTCTCTACATATGCAACAAAAGTAACTAGATTTCAGTAAAATACACATCAAAGAAATAAAATCTGTTATTTAAAAACACAACAATATTTTAAAAATAAACTTGATATAAGTTTGAAAACAGAAGGTAAGGTCACAACTATTCAGCTATTATTTAAGCTAAGTGAAGCAACCCTCCCCATAGAAATAATATTAATAAAGAGCTGTGGAATTCACTATGTTTTAAGGAGTTAAAAAGTTTAAGAGTTTTTATTAATTCAGAATGATTTATATCTGCCAATAAATATGGTTATACAAGAAGACAACAAAGTACCTCAAGGATAGAGTTCTACAGGGTTTTTCTCCAAATTGCAGAGATATACGGTTGTATAATAGAAAATTTGCTGTTGGATGGAGAACTACACTTTTTAAAGTTTTTTATTTAAATTCTCTTTAGTTAGGCAATTATATTTAAAAAATTAATTACTCACTAAAGGAGTACTACCAACCTAGAAAGAGGTTTTTAATAGGTGTGTCTATGAACTCATCTTCTATCTCCTCAACGTTTTGTTTTTTTTTTAAATTTTATTTCTTTATGACAGAGAGACAAAGCAAGAGAGGGAACACAAGTAGGGTGAGTGGGAGAGGGAGAAGCAGGCTTCCCCCTGGGCCCAATGCAGGGCTCAGTCGACCTGAGCTGAAGGCAGGTGCTTAACAGCTGAGCCATCCAGGCACTCCTCAATATTTCAATTGTTATAGATGAAGACCCCAGAAATGTTTATCAGAAATGGAGGAAAGAGGGCAGAAAAGAGAGCTGGCAAGAACAAAAATCCTTTCTGGAACAAGGTATGTCGTTAGCAAATAATATAAAAATGTAAACTATGCTAAACCAGTTGGCAGAGTCAAGATTAAAAAAGATCGAATTTAACAGGGATATATATAAATTCCTAATTGAAGACTCCAAAATGGACTGCACATGTAGAAGATGAACAAAACTTAGCTAAAAGCAATTTATGTAAAGAAGACCTAGGGATTTTAACTGACTTAACTAAGCTCAATATATGATGTGGTTACTTAAAAAGCAAATCTAAATTCAAGCGTGGGATAGGGTGGGCTTACGTGCCTCTCACTGTACAAAGATCACAACAGATTTGTAGTTACTTGGAGGAACACAGACAAACTAGAGTTATCAATAGAAACACTGAGGGCCACAGCAGCATGACTTCTGAAACCACCTCCTTGGAAGAACTGTTAAAAGATGGACGGTATTCAGGCACCTGGGTGGCTTAGTCAGTTAAGCCTCTGCCTTCAGCCCGGGTTATGATCCCAGGGTCCTGGGATCAAGTCCTGATTCAGACTCTGTGCTCATAGGGGGGGGTCTGCTTCTCCCTCAACCCACACCCCTTTGCTGGTGATCTCTTTCTCAAGCTCTTTTTCTCTCAAATAAATAAATAAAACCTTAAAAAAAAGATGGAGGATATTCATGCAGAAAAATATTAAGAGGAGATGAGATAAACAAGCATCTGCATGAGAGTGATCCTAATTTTCCTCTGTGTAGTTTTCATGAATAGATCTAAAAACAAACGGATATTAAGAGAAAGTAGATTATAAAATACCTATTTACAAGCCAAAATGACATGAACACTGCATACCATTTTTCCTCTTACACAGTACACTTGTCACGGAGCTAAACATTTATCTTGTGTTCCCCATGAAATACTTTGGGACTAGAAATAAGACAAAGTTGTACATATTAACTAATTTCCTGAACACAAAACCCCTATGAAGTAGGTAGTATTACTATCAGCATTTTTTAGAATAAAGAAAACTGAGAAACCGAGAGCTCATTAACTCAGATGGCTAGTGGTGCAGCTGGGATTTTAATCCAGCCCATATGGATCTGGAGCAGCACTCTTCTTCACTACCACATTCTTAAGTGAGTTTAGGGACTTCGAAATGTCCTAGCAAAAAATAAATGTTAACGTCTGATGATTATGATGTAGGTTAAAAGAAAAAGACCAATTTAGATAGGATCTACAGGGAAGTAAGTGTTAAGGCATAGTTATTAAAATTAGCAAATGAATATAATAGGTGCCCAATGTACAACTGGTTTTGGCTCCAGAGGAATTATTCCACAAAGAACCACACGCATGCAGGCTCTCAAACTCCTTTCTAGGGGCTTCCAGTCTCAGAAGAGGACAAAGTAAACTGATAAATAATCTAAAGCAATGTTTCCAAAAAACCCAGTAAAAACTAGCCCAAAAATTAACAGACCAAGAGTTGTTATTAGTAATAATGACAACAAAACAGCAGTGCCTCTAGCTCATTTACAATATTGTGATTACTGCTATATTTGGTCTTATTCCTCCAACTTACTGTTTTTAAATAAGTGATAGGAGGGCAGTGAGTAAGAGCAAGACTCCAGAGCCTGTTTGGGCTCTGCCACTACTGCCTGTGAGACCTTATGCAAATCACTTAACTCCCTGGAGTCTCACTTTCCTAATTTGTAAGGTGGGAATACTGGAAGTACCTAACTCATAGACGCTGAAAGGGTTAAACGAGGGAATATATATAAAACATTCAGAACAGTACCTGGAGCGTGTTTGCTGCTGTCATTATATTTAATGTTGTATTTAAGACTTTAAAAAATGAGTCTTACGTTTACAGAAAAATTGTTCAGAAAATAATAAAGAATTCCCACATACCTCCTTCCACCACACACACACACACACACACACACACACACACACACGCATGCACCCACGTGCACATGCACATACACATACATAGTTTCACCTTCTGTTACCATTATGGTACATTTTTAGAGTTGATAACCAACTCTATTGTTGATAGCGAGCCCAAGTCCATACTTTACATTAGGGTTCAGTCTTGGCTTTGTACATTCTATGGGTTTTAACAAATGAATGTCATCTATCCACAATTACAATATCACATAGAATTGTTTCACTGCCCTAAAAGCCCCATGCTCCCCCTATTCATCCCTTTTACCTTTTCTCCAACTCCTGTCAACTACTGGTCTCTATATAGTGTTCCTTTCCCAGAACGTCATGTAATAGGAGTTACACAGGATGTAGCCTTCTCAGACTGGCTCCTTTCACTTAGCGTTATGCATTCAAAGTTCTTCCTAATTGATCTTGAAGTTACTCCAGGTCGCTAATGAGAACTGCTCTTAATTCTACATCAGTTAATATCTTGGCTTTTAAGAAAAGCAATAAATTTGCTTCATTTTGTAAGTAAATGCAAACTGCCTTCCACCCTTTGGATATTCCTGAAAGACTGGTCCAGTGATGGCGGGCTGTCTTATTTTCTAGGACTGTTACATTCTTTTCAAAAACCTATGTTTATAATTCTATTTTCTTTAAACGTATGAGTTGAAATCAATATCATGATTTGATTTTGCTTCAAGCTGTCTCCAAAGAAAGTAACAAATATAATGAAAATAAGTTAAAATTTGCACCTAATTATTCTGTGTGTATATATATTCTACCACATGCAGGGGGAAAAAAAAGCCAAAAGCCAGTTTCTGCTAAGAATGACCTTGATGAAGCAGGAAAAAGATTAATTTTTATTAATTATTTATTTTTTAATACACCATGCGAGAGAAACAGGAAGTACACAGAAAGCATTTCTGCTGCATACCGAAGCATTTTTTTTTTTTTTTAAAGAAAAAGCTCCTTTGTTATTGTTTTAGTTGTGAGCTGAACTAGCTGTTTTTCCCACTGAATACCATTGTTATGTAATAAACAATGGCCAGGAAAACTCATTATTTAGATCTGGTTA